GTAGCAGTCGTAGTCCAGATAGTTCTAGCCGGTGGTGGCAGCGCTACCAGCGGAGTGTCGTAGTAGGCGTCGTCATGGGTAGTGGTAGTAGTAGTAGTAGTAGTAGTAGTGGTAGTGGTAGTCGTGGTGGTGGTGGTGGTGGTGGTGGTAGTGGTAGCAGTAGAATCATCACACACGCTGCGGACGATCCACTGTAGCATTGTGAGCATCTCTGAGCGGTGATGAGCCGGTGCACAATCGGCGCATGTTCTCTAATCTCTTGCCGCGGACGGGCTACTGTTGTTCTGCTCGTGAGCTTCTGAGGCGATATACCAGTATTATACCAATATGTAGTCGGTAGTTTCCATAGCCCAATAAAGTGACATTCAGGTGGTAGTAGCAGCAGCAGCAGCAGCAGTAGTCGTAGTCGTAGTCGTAGTCGTAGTCGTAGTGGCAGTGGCAGCGGTAGCGGTAGCGGTAGCGAGCGGTAGCGGTAGTGGTAGTGGTAGTGGTAGCGGTACTGATCGTCATCGTCGTCGTCGTAGATGATGGTAGATGATGATGATGATGATGATGATGACGATGATGATGACGATGATGATGACGATGACGATGAGGACGAGGATGAGGATGAAGATGAGGACGAGGATGAGCATGAGGATGGTGATGATCAGGATGATAAGGATGATAAGGATGATGATGATGATGACGACGATGATCATGATGATGGTGGGGGTGGTGGTGGTGGCGGCGGTGGTGGTGGTGGTAATGATGACGCTGACGCTGATGCTGATGCTGATGCTGATGCTGATGGTGACGCTGATGCTGATGCTGATGCTGATGGTGATGGTGGTGGTGATGATGATGATGATGGAACAGGAAGACATAATAGGACGAGAAGGAGTTGTCACGCGGCCGTCCGCACCGAAACATATGAGATGACAGAAAGACTGCATGGGAAAGGGGCTGCATGCCTTGCCAGTTTGCTCGGTGTCCAAAGCCTGTGCAAACGTGTAAAGGACTTTCAAAGCCTTGACTCGTGAAATCTCCAGACCTGCCTCCAGAAGCCTGTCGAGGTCCGGGTCGGACATCTGGCAGCAAACCTTCATGATCTTCTTGAGGAAAGCCTCTCGCACAGCCAAGCCTACGCTGACATATGCTCACCGGCGACGAAAAGCTGTGAGCCCCCCAGGATCTGAGCTGTGGTACGCGCAGCCAAGGGACCACAGGGACCATGCCTGTGACGGGAGGTCCAATCGGAGACCATGGAGTCGGGAACCCGAGCCGGAAGTCTTAGCCGGAAGTCCTGCACCTAATCCCTGCAAAACGGTTGCGCTGTAGACCCGCAAAGCCATCCCCCAGCGATACCCCAAGCCCTAAACCGCGAACAAACGATGGTCCCGTGATGCTTCACGGCTCCGGGACGCAAGCTGTGAATTGCCGAGTTGCCATCGCCAGGCGCATGCTGGGAGAAGAGCTGCACCACCTTGCGGATTAGCCAAGAATATCAATGCTCGGCACACATCCTATGAACTCCTTTGCCTGCTTTGCCAACCCTTTTCAACTTTCTCTGCTGAAACTCTCTTCAGACCTTGGCTAGGGCGACGTCGGCAGCCGATGCCATCGCTCGTTTGCTTTCCGGTTTACCGGGTCTGCATAAGCGTGTCGGTGCGATGGACTTTGACATGCTGCCTTCAGGTTTCTCACCAAAGGCTTGGGTTTGGCCTTTTGGGTCGGTGCCATGTGGATTTGAGCTACAGCGGCTGCCGCATCAGAGTAGCAGTGGATGGCTTCTCCAGTCTGAACGGTACATAAGGTTTCCGGAGAAACTGCGGCCAGGCTCAGCAGCAAATCAAGGCTCCAACCCAGCGAAGCTCTGACTTCCTGCAATGGCCTGAGATTGCTGCATGTAGCCTCTGGGGCAAGCAAGGTGGCTTGTTGCAGCACTGATCAACATGTGGAAGGTCCTATCCGGTCGCGCAGATACGAACTCGAAACAGCCATAATTAGCGCAATAAGCTGGAAAGCAAGCCTGCACCTCCGGGCATCCCTATTCTCAGGCAGCCCGAGAACCCTCGTCGAAACCCTGGGAGCTACTCGCAACCCGATCCGCCGTTCCACCAACAAGCAGAATATACGACTACGAACAACAATGATTATTTTACTTCGAACATCCCCACCCTACAGATAATGCATTTGCGGACTGACTGGCGTTACGGTCGTGGGGTCCCCGGTCACGTGACAAAACACAAGTGTTCGATTCAGGTCATTCCACGACCCATGGGGTCACACCGCCGACTGGCGATATGACGTGGGGTCCCCGAACACATAACAAAACACATGTTCGATTCAGGTCAGTCGACGATCCATGGGGCCCCTGACTGGCGTTAAGGTCCTGGGGTCCCCAAGGAGTTCCACGGTAGTCTCTGGGGTTGGGCGCTCCAGGGAGTCTCACGGTAGTCTCTGGGCATAGGCACTCCAGGCAGTCTCTGGAGACAGTCTCAACGGGCGAGGAGCGGACAAGTTGCGGGCTGGAGTAATACTAGCACCGAGGGTGGGAAATAATCATAGCAATGCAGATGGTAGTCACAACAATAACCTCATGGACGTGCAGGTAGTGGTCACGGCAGCAGCAACAGCAGCAGCACCAGTGAAACTCGGAACATTTACAAAATCTGGAAGCGAGCTAACAACAGGTAGGATCATGAAACTAACCCCTGGCGCTATTCCTCAGACTCACATGCAGCCCCTCTCGGAAGGCGACCGGTGCCAGGACAAGCCACGCCCTGATCAAGTAGCCAAGGGACAAGAAATCTGCTGAGAAAGCTTGGCTGCCAAGCCTGGACATCTGCAACTACATCGCGAGATGAAACAGCTGCTGATGAAATTCCATGTATGCGGCCATAAGACCCTTTGCAATGTGTATGTGAGAAAGAGATGGGTGCTCTTAGAGTTACTAGTTACTAGCCACTACCGTGAACAAACATAGGAAAACCGCTCTCATGTGCAGGTTTTGCATGATGCTGTGAGAGGCATACACATGCATGGCATTTGAGCTCATCGCTGCAGGCTACATCACTCGCCAATAAAGTACCGAATGGAGAAGCTGAGGCAACTCAGTGCAGGGTCAATGCATGTGCAGTTGTCCTTTCAGCGATGTGAATGGATTCCAGACTCTGCCGGGAAGCTTCTCACATCGCTTGGACATTCACCTTCACTTCACTCCACGCTGTCTGGTGCAAAAGAGTGGCAAGCAAGCAGCATTGCCATGCGGCGCCTGTGTCTAGTGTGCCGGCGGTGCCACGGCAGATATCTCGGAGTCCAAACTGCGCGAGATCTTGCAAGAAACTGCAGCCTAGCGGGGTCCACATGACAAAAGGGTCGAGCGACCTCTCCAAGTCCTTGAGTTCGGTTCGCTTGAGACGTTGCCTCAACAAACTAGCCAGTGCCGCAAGAAAGAACTGGACGCCGGGGGCGCCACAGATCGTGGAGGATTCGCTTCCTCTCCGTCTGCTCTTTCTCCAACTCCTCCTCATTGCCGTGGCAGAGCATAGCAGCGCCTGCCCGCGACACCCTGGCCTCGAGCTTCTGGTTCGCTGACCGCAAACCACCGGCCATGTCCTCAGCGCCGTCTGCGTCGTCTCACGCCATGCTCTAAGCCAGACTGGAGGCCATGCACCGCCCGCTCCTGCTGATTGGACAACTCCGTTTTAGAGGACTGTGTCGTGCCATCAGATGCACTCAGCCTGGCTCAAGTCTTGCGATCTCCTTCAGAGAAAGCGGCTAGGTGATCCAGAAGCCGAGGCGCCTCTCCCGGAGATCTTCGCTCCGTGCCTTCTCAGCCACGAGAGCCTTCTGCTTCGGGGGCCAACAGAGCACAGCAGAGTACAGCAACGTCAAGTGCGGCCTGCTCCAGGTTGGTCTTCTCAAGTTCGGCAGCCTGCGATTCTCGGAACAAGAAAATATCGCCAGCATCTTACCCTGTCACTTCGGCATGTCTTCGTGCTTACATTGGGTCGAAGGCTGCGTGAGGTTTGTCTACTGGGTCCTGCCTTGATCTTGGCCCTCAACTCGGAAACTTCATCCAGTACCTGTCCGCTCGTGGAAGTTTCACTCAAAATTCTGCTCACCTGTTTGAGGGGTACATCAAAACATTCATACCTCTCCCTCTTGAGTGGAGGCACTGCTGAACTCGGGAACCGTCTCTTCGTTTGCGGCATTCCGATGTCTTGTTCCTTTGATCTGGATATGCCTCTACCCAGCTCATGCCAAACGCACCGAGATTGGTTTCCTTCAACAATCCGTCCCATCAAGCGCCACTCTTCTTCATGGGGTCTTGGAGTCTTGCCTGGCCTTGTTCAGGCGCCAGCTTTGCCGCAAAAGGTCCAGCTTCCCAAGCAACGTGGGAGCCGGCAGCGTCCAGATCTCGCAGGTGCGCACACTACTCCATTGCTTGCTATCGTTAACGTTAAGACTATCGTTGTACAAGGGAGTGTCGCTACTGCCCCGAGTGCTGCTACTGCTACTCCTACCGTACAACGAGTCACAACGAGCCAGTCTTGGCAGACTCTTACGTCCGTATCAGCAAGCACCAACACCCCGCGGACGGCAGATGAGAAATCCACTGTCAGTGATCACACCACTTTGTAGCGGAACTGGTTTGGGACGTGAGGGCTTGAACTGAGCAGGTTTCTGTTGCCCTTCAGGCTTTCCACGCAACCACTACTACTGCCACTGCTGCTGCTGCTGCTGCTGCTGCTGCTGCTGCCAAGCCGACCGCGATGAGCCAGAGTACCGGTAGCTACGCCGTTCACGGTTGCTACTGCACGCACAACACCAGAGCCCTCTGAGAGATGCGTGACAGGCGTGACATAAACGCAAGCCCAAGCGGCAGTAAAACTCAGGGTTGCAAGCACCTTGCGATGTGACAGGCCATACACAACAACGCAGAACCATGAAGCGTTTAAGCAAAGGGCCATGCAAAGTGCCAGAGGGCTTCTGGCATTTGCAGGAGGCGGCCTCGGAGAACAGAGCTGCTCGGCAGCGCTGCTGTGTCGCAATTTCTGGTGACTTCTGCTAGCGCTGATAGCCCTTTGTTAGCCTTTGTTTGCACTGTAGATGCGCAGCATTGCCATCATTCAACTATCTGTTAACAGCAAGGGGATGTCGTCACACTTTGGAGTGGTGGAAGGCTGTCCTTCATTGCACCTCAAGACCGGGCCATGCCTTCCCGCCCCCCATTAGCTGCCAGGCCAACAACGGCTCGAAGAGCTGGGAGTCTTGCCCTGCTCAAGAGAGCCATCGGAGCAAACTCGGAGCCTACAGACTGCCTGCACATGCCTGCACTGCCACATGCAACGTCCACCCCTGCCTTTGAGGAATATTTCTCTGCTGGGGGTCCGGTGCCGGACTCCTTCAGATCGCAGGCCGTGGAAGAAAGGGACGATTGCACCGCAAGTCTGATAGAGTCACATCTTCCTTGATAGGCCTTGGAGAAGCAAAGACGAAGGCAGGAAGGATGGTTTGGAGGTACCTCCAAAGATCCAGCCTCTTGGCTCAGCAGCGCTTCTGTCTCTTCGTTCTCGCCCTCTCCGGGGTGGCCCCGCAGCCTCCCAGCCAAGACGACGCAGGCTCGGCGGAGTTCTGCTACCAGGCTGAGGCGACAGCTCCTCCGGCCGTCGTCGGAACATGCCGTGGCATTGGCTCGAAGTCTATGCCACTATGCTCTCTGCACCAGCGTTACGTCAACCTTGCATGCAAGACTTGGTTGTGGTGGTGTTGAGGCTTCGCCCCCGTCTGACTCCCATCCACATAGCATGCCATGATCTCTCCGGTTGCGCTCCTCATTAGGGCTTGGCTGCTCATGTCAGCTAAGTTGCTTCCGTCGAGGTGTGAGGTGGATGCCAACCGCTAGCGGCTAGCAGCTTGCTGCTACCGTAGGACGTGGTGGACGATGTGTGCGCGCTTCAGTCTACCAAGAGTCCATGGCTCTAGGTTTCGAGCACCGTTTTGCAAAATCACGCAGCCGTTGCAATCGAAGACCTCTTGCTGATTGACAGTGCTGCTTTCTCCAAGCCGGCAGAAGACGTCCGGAGTAGAGACGACGGTGGCAGAGGTCCTGCATCACGGTGCTGACAACTCCGGCTCGCTTTCGAACCAGCCTGTGCTAGCAGCTAGCAAACTCCTCTTTGAATGCCGGCTGCCAGCTAACAGCCGTTGCTCAAGGTAGCCAGGCAACGATGAATATATTTTGCCAGGGAAGTGAAGCTATGATGATGCAACAACGTGAAATTGATGCAACCGTTCACGCCATTCTCCGCAAGTCCTTTTTCAAGACCTGAGATGCTCACGATGACGAGCTTTTCCGCCTGCGGCAGTCTGAAAACTCGGCAAGTGGTTTAACTTGAGACATCCCAAAAACTACGAGGTTGATCGGACGGCATGAGAAGATAACATAACGCCGTAGCCACATGAGGGTTGTTCTACTTTGCTCTATGCAGGGGATCCGTGTGTTTGGCCGTTGAGCGTGGCTTGCCTTCTTGCACACGCGAGGTTTTGTCACTCGGCCAGTATGCAGCTATCCCGAAAAACAATCCTGAACAACTGTCATAAGCACCTGCTACGACGCACAGCCCTGATATGCGTTGAGCTACAGCTACAAGCTGGCCCGAATTGCCACGCTTGGTCGCTAGCGCTGAAGTCTCTGCAAGAGTCCGAGGCTGGGTCCTTTTTCTCCGGTCCTCCAAGGAGGGAAAGGGCGGGCTCAAACGCTTGCCAGGTTCAGGGCCTACAGGGTCCATGCCACCTCCCAAATCGGGCAATGCTCCTGCCTTGTCTTTTCTCTTTGCGCGAGAGCTGTCGTCAGACTTGCTCTTTTTCTGCCTGCTGTTTGTGTCTGTCTGTGCATTCACACACAAGTTGCGCAGCCGCATTCGGCCTTTTGTCTTTCTCCTTCTCTTTCTCTTTGGCGCGGGCTTTCTCCTGGCAGTCGAAGAGCCGGCAGTTTGCGCCATGAAATACACCAATTAGCCTTGCTTGAACTTACGAAACCAGGGGTAACATCGCTCCTTTCTCCTGGCTCGTGAGGCCGAACTAGAGCTGCTGCTCCTTCTCCTTCAGAATTTGCAAGAGGCTTAGCCACAAAGACGATCCGTGTTGTCTGCAATCAGAGCAGCCTCTTCTCCTTACCCTCGCCCTTGCTGCGCTCCTGAGCTCAGGATTCACAGAATTTTAGTCTATCCATTGGCCTGCTGGGCGTCAGAAAAGGAAGACGAAGGCAGAGAGTCCTTCTCCTTCTGCTTCTTCTTGTCCTACTAGCGATGTGTCTACAGGGACATGGGTCAGGCAAACGTGTGCTCTTGTCAACCCGTCCTTTGACCTGGATCTTTCTTTTCGTTTCCTAGATCGTGATCCTTCTTTTCTCTTCTTGTCCTTCGATCTTGATCTCGATCTCGACTTCTCTCTCCGCCTGTCTTTTCATGCTGAACACGCTCAGTAGACAAGAGGACAGCCACCTCGATCTTGATCGCGACTTGTCTTTGGCTTTGCTGTTGTCCTTGTGTTTCTCCTGATGTTCTGATGAAATACTGGACAACATGAGCCTGAACGGTACTATGTCTGCTATGTGGTTAGAACTCACAGCGGACACTGTCGCATCTAGAACAGTACTGCTGTCTCCTCGATTCTTCGTATTCTGTTATCATGTCAAACTGCCAGTCCCGTCTGCCTGGTGCAGCAACGTCACAACCAGCAGCAACAATAGCAGCGACAACATCAACATCGACACCATCAGCATTATCAATAGAATTGTGTCATTTGCTGCTCCTGGTGTCTGATGCAACCCCTTGCTCGCCAGCAGTTGCAGCAGGAGCAGAAAATTAAGAACCTTCCGAGCACGGCAGGTCCTGACTTTTGGGTTTTTGCACATAGCAGACACCGTGGAATTCTACCATCAGCACCATGGTCCTAATCCAAGTCACGACCATAGCAAACACAGAAAGTGCTCTCATACACCCAAACTAATAGCCATCATGCCAACAAGATCCAACAAGGCATGTTTCAAGAAACAAAGTAGGTCTTTAATCGGGGCAAAAGCCTGTTCTGTTGGACATTGATGCAGTGAGCGAGTCGAGGGTGTTCGGATTTCTTGAGAATGGCCAGGCAGCATTCTGGCGACTAGTCCCTCTTCGCTCACAGCTTACAGGGCTTAGGATTTTGGGTAGATAGGGTCGATAAACATCTACTGCGTGCCAGCCTTGCACACAGGGGGTTGCATGTTGCTTTCCCGGATGGTGGTGGTGGTGGCACTAAACGGACTAAGCCCTTGACCTTGGAGTTTTTGTCTTTCTCCTTGTCCGAGTCCTTGTTGGACTCGTTCACCTTCCCGTTGTCTTTGTCTTTCTTCTCCTTGTGTTGCTCTGCCTCCTTGGCCTTGTTATTATCCTTCTCCTTCACTTTGGAGTCTGTTTTGCTTCCTTTCTTATCTTTTGTCTTCTCTTTGTCTTTTTCAGACTCCTTCTTTGACTGAATCTCCTTGTCTTTCAGCTTGTCTTTGCTCTTCTCACCATCTGCCTTCTTAACATCCTTCTCCTTGTCCTTGTCCTTTTGCTTGACCTTGTCCTGCTTGTCGACAACAACCTCTTGCTTTTTCACGGAGTCTGTCTCCACCTCCATATTTGCTGTTCCGGAGTCCTGACGTTGCCAACTGCGGAAAGAGTCCAAAGCCACCTTAATCCTCACCTCTGCAAAGAACGCTCAGCCGTCCTGAGTGCTCTGTGGTGCTACTAGCTTCGGCGACTGGCAGGCCTGCGCCTCGACTTGTGTCTGACCTTCGGGCTCTGTCCTTGACGGCATATTGTCAAATGACAGCGGACATGCAAGCAAAGGTAGTTGGGCAAAACCTCGGTCACAGAAGCTGTGCTGTTTGGGTACAGCCGGGCATCGCTTGAATTCCCGCTGCAGGAAGTTTTTCTTTTCCTGCCTCTGGCTTTTGCGAACGCGAGATGTTTGGAGGACATGTGAATAAAGCCTGGAAGGGCTGGAAAGCAGACATTAAACTAGAATTTAAAGCCATCTGACAGCAAAAGTTGCGCCTTTTCCGCGGCCTTCCTCTCTTTTTCCTTTGCCTTCAGGATCGCTTCCTGGGCCTGGGGGGGGTCGCCGAAAATCCCGAGTGTTTAAGATTCTTGTAAACCTTCTTCTCAGCATCACCTCCTACTAAATTCCTCCTCCTGCTACTACTACTCCTGCTCCCTCCACCACCCCACCACCACTACCACCACCCCCACCGCCACTAGTACTACCACTACCACTACAACCACCACCACCACCACCACGACCACCACGACCACTACCACTACCACTCCGACTGCCACCACCACCACCACCACTACTACTGCTAGACTGCTGCTGCTACTACTACTACTACTACTACTACTAATACTACTACTACTACTACTACTACTACTGCTACTACTCCTAATACTATTTCTACTACTACTACTACTACTACTACTAGTACTACTACTACTACTACTACTACTACTACGACTACTACTACTACTACTACTACTACTACCCACTACCCACTACCTACTACCTACTACCTACTACCTACTACCTACTACCTACTACCTACTACCTACTACCTACTACCTACTACCTACTACCTACTACCTACTACCTGCTTCCTACTACCTACTAACTACTAACTACTAACTACTAACTACTCTA